TACCTGCACCATGGGATTCCAACTCCCTTCCCTTGTCAAGCTCATTAGTGTGGCTTCAGTGCCTAAGGTTCTAAAGTCTAAAGGGGAAAACGTGAGTGAGAGAGAGAGAGAGAGAGCAAAAAGGTGAATGAGCTGGGGGAGGGCCTTTATAAATTAAAGGGGGAGAGAGAGAGAGGGTTGCATGCAAGGCCAAGTGGCTTGCATGCAAAAAGAGAGAGAGAGAGAGGTGTCCACATGCATGAGCTGATGTGGCACACATGCATGGGGTAAGGTGGCAATGAGGTGGCAGCACATGGGTGAGGAAAAGAAGGGGGAGAAAAAGGAGAGGAAGTCCCCCCCTTGGACCACCCTATTCAACGCACACCATCGTAAAACGTTACGCATGGCGGCTAGACAGAACACGCACGGCGCCAGGAAAACACACACACAATGGTCACGACAGTCAGGAATTTACACACACACAAAGGTCAAGAATTACACACGCGGCGGTCAGGCAGGAATTACACACACGGCGATTAGGAATTCCATGCAAAACAGTCTGGGCCCTTACAAATGATGAGAAGCCACTCACTCTTACCTAAGGAATCTAGAGCAAAGAAGGATATTTGTCATACGTTGGTCTGCTTCTAAGAGGTATACATATCTGAAATTCCAGCGTATTATTCAAATCTTTTCAAAATAAAATAGAACACTGTCATAATTTCCACCCATTTCATTGTGAACACAAAAAAATGGCAGATGAAACTAACATCTTGGATAATCCAATAACAACTTCAATATTTAAGTAATGAGGGTTTCTAAATGGCTACTCCTTCCTTACCCACAAGGATCTCTAGACATCCTTTTACCATCATGTTAGCTCTTATTTAAGCCCTCCAACCCAGCTAACTAAGAAAAAGGAAGAAAGAAGATTTCTTGCATCATATGGATGAAATTAGTTGAAGAAAGATGGGGAAAAGATCCAGCATCAATGTTAGACACTAAAACTATAGGAAATGACAAGAAACATCTGAGGTGACTATTTTAGCTAAATAATGAAGACATCTACCAGTTGAATCACCACTCGTGAAACACAGCAAGTATTATACCATTTGTCTGAAATGGCTTTCTAATGTTTATGCAAAGGTGAGGATATAGTTAGAAGGTAATGTTGTAATCAAATTAAAAGGGAAGCGATATTTGATGAAATTAGCTGTTTTGGCATTGCAACTACTGTAAGAGAAAAACATTTTAACTACAAGTTAGAACAACCTGATGTCAAAACTTGTAGTAACTGCAGTATGGTGAATGACATCTAGTGCACAAATTAAATAGAAGAGACCAACAAGTGGTTTTGGCTATATCACAATGCAAATCCGACCCTCAACATTAATCAGCTATCATGTTTTTGGTTTTCCTTTTTTTCTGTTTTTTTTTTTTTAAGAAACTATTGCTTAAGTAGAAATAATGCTCAGATGTGTATGAAACATCGCACACTGATCAAATAAACAATACCTCTAGCTTGGCCAGCATCTGGGTTTTTTTGAGAATCATTCGAATCATCCTTAATAATATTAAGGGTCACATTGATTATTTTTCTATCAAAAGGCAACAATTTATATGAGGAACAGTGGAACCAATGTGGAGGACACTATCATATGCTTCATGCCTCCAATGTAAAAGTGGAGAACTGTTGGTCTACAGAAGGTGCACAGTTGGATTAGTTGTTGCTAGCCACAATATTCTTTACATGTACTTCACAGTCTTGGGCATTACAAAGTCTAACATTCATAAAAAATCAGATCATAAGCAAATACTAAGATCCTCTTATCAACAACATTTATGTGTTCCATCAATTTAAATTGCCCACTTCAAAACATTTCAAGCCATTTTCTAATGCTTTAATCAAAATTGTGTGAATATTAATAGGAACAATCTTGTTTACAAAGCCATGATATGATTGATCCCCTTGTTTATCATAATCATCATCATGTTCTATGCCAAGATTCTATAAATGAAAAGATGATTGGAATTTCTAGAACCGAACCTTTGCCATCACAGGCTGTACACACTCCTTACAGTGGAAGGCATGGGTCTAGAAACTAGAAAGAACCTCTTCGGAAATCAGTCATAAAATTCTCCAAAACATAAGGCAGTACAATACACTAACTGGCTCATGAAATTCATGAATAACTACTAGTAAGCAAACAGATAGGTGGCTCAACCTCACACCATTCAAGGAGTTAAGGTTTATTACGTGCTAGCAGGACGACTTAGAGAAATTAAACTGCAATCCATCTTTGACTTATATTAGTTCCATCCTGATGAGAAAAAGTAAAATTAAGGGTAACCTCAGAATGCAAGAAGAGAATTAGCTGGGCATATGTACTTCAGACTAAATGCAGTAGCCACAGAAGAAACAGAAAAGAAAAAATTGAGTAAACGGAAAAAAAAAAAAAAGCAGAAGAACAAGGGAAATGATAGTTTCCAATCAAATCTGAGCAGAAATACAAGTAACAATAATAACAGAAGAAATAAACTCAATACCATTCACCAAATGCACAAAAGAACTAAAGAATCATAAAACGTGAAGAAGCATTTCCATGCTTATTCCCAGAAGTCGACAGCAGATTACCTCAACAAGTGCAGCTTCTTTCCTCGCAAATGATCCAACAATTGAAGGAGAAAGGCCCACGTCTTTTGCACCACAAATCATCGCTTCCTCACTCCATCCCAATCTCACCTAAAACCAGGGATTCACTTTCAATCAAAGCTAAACACTAAACCCTAAAATAGGAGAGGAAAAAAAACAAAAAGTCTCTACCACGTGGGAAATTGCAGCATCAAGAACACAAGCCTGCTCATCTCTGTACTCTCTTCTGCAATCTCTCTGTCTCCTTTTGTCTCCTTCTGCTTCTTTCTGATTCTTGTGATTTGTGTGTGGTTTAGTTGAAAAGGGACGATAAAGAGTAGAAAGGGGCATCATTCTACCTAATTGCCGCCACAAATTCCTGGACTGAAAAGGCCGCAGTGGCAGCATTATGAAACCCTAACAAAAAATGGAGGATTGGTTCTTTTCTGTGTGTTAATTTTCACTTCTCCGAAACTGTGATTGAAGTCGGGTCATCCGACGAGTGAGGGGTAGTTTAAATATGGAATACGTGCTTGGCATGCGCATTTTCCTGAGAGCTGTACACGCCATTAGAGCTTTGAATTGGGGGATTTTTGGGTATATTTCTCAGCACTTTTGATACCATTACAATCACTCCAATCTCCCAATCAAAAAGGTACATTTTCGTGGACAAACGAAACCCCCCATTTTAACACATGTTTTTAAAACATATTCCCAACATATGGCGGTAAATCACACGCCAACATGATCGGTCCGGTATAAATGTTTGAACTAGGTTTTTTCGGTCTGGCACAAAATTGTGATAGATAGACTTTTAATATTATAATTCTCGATCCGACACAATATGTGTCGGGCCTGCTTTTGACATTAAAATGGCCGGCTTTGCACAAAATGTGTCGAAGAAGCTTATATTTAAATTGTACCAATCTGACGCAAAATGCATTGGATCGGTTATATATTCACTTTCTGCCAGTCTGGTACATTTTTCATCGAACCGACTTAGAGAGAGTGGAAAACATGCCCCAAGAAAAGAGTATTTTAGTAAAAACAAAGTCAACTTTTTTTTACTTGGGTTGATTGAAAAACAAACGGAAAAATTGCAGATACCCCCAAGTTTGAACGTTCTATGCAATCTCTCCTGAACAAAACTTTTCTTTGCAACTTTTACCCCGAATCTACTTTCCTAGCAAATACACCTTAAGTCAAAATAAATAAAAGACCAAAATGCCCTCTTTTAAGTTAAAGGCCTCTCTCTTTTCCAGTCATGGTCTCGATCTGGCAATAGGATAGGTAGTCCGACACTAACTGCACGTGGTCCGACACATCCAACATTCGGTCTGACAATTGTTTTTCTGTCTAGGTTGTTAGTTTGGCAAAAGGAAATGTGGTCCGGCACTGGGTGCCCTCAGTCTGGCAAATTTTTTATGGGTTGGCAATTGTTCTACACGGTCTTGCACATGATGACTTCAGTCCGACGTGTCTTTACGTCGTTCTCGCACGTCTTTATGTCAGTCTGGCAGTTGTTCTACACGATCCAGCACGTGATGATTTCGGTCCGGCGTGTCTTTACCTCAGTCCAGCACGTCTTTGCGTCAGTCCGACAATTGTTTACTACGGTCTGGAAGTCAATGTTTGGTTGTGTATTTTATAAAGATGTGACACGAGCATGTACGGACAATGGCATTTTGATCTAAATAACTATAACTTTTGACTTGGGGGAATTTCCTAGAAAAATATTTTTTATTGTAAAAGTAGTGAAAATAAAGTTGGTTGGGGGGAGGTTTTGTAGAAAGTCCAAGTTGGGGGTATATGTAATTTTCCCGAAAACAAAAAAGTGTTGGGGTTAATAGTGTAGTATCAAAAGGAGTGGGGTAGGGGTAGGGGGAAAGACATGCCCAAAAAGTACAAAATAGGAGGGTATTTATAATTTGGAAAACATTTTTATAAGTGTGAGGCTCTAAACAAGCAAATTAGGGCGCAACTAAAAAATTCCATTAGAAGAGGTTGTTATGATGCCTAAATATCCTCAAATTGATCATCTCAACCTCAAGATGCATGAGCATGAGAAAAAAAATGGGTTTCAAGTTTTGAAAATAGTAAATCTTCTAATGCATTTTTGGGCCAACGTTTTTTTTACTTCTCTCAACTCAAACAAACAAACATTCTCTCTCTCTCTCCTAACTAATTCATTTACCTTATTTTATTGAACCTTTTCTCTCCTTCTCTTAATAGATTTATCCGTTTTTTATTTTTTTGTTATTTTGCTTTACCTTCACTCACAACACCCATTATACTTTAGTTCACTTTATCCAATTACTTCATTTAATTGTATTTATTTTTATTTATCTTATTTATTCATTTTATCTTCATTCATCTTTACCTTATTTTATTCAATTTATCTCTTTTTATATTATTTCCATCATCCCATTTTATTTTATCCATTTCATTTATTTTATCTTACCTTACTTTATTTTAATTTATTCCTTTACCTTATTTTATTTACCCCACTTATTTTATTTTAATTTATCTTTATCTTCTTTATTTTATTTTAGTTTTCTCACCTCATTCATTTTATTTCATTTTCATTTATTCCATTTTATTTTATTTATTTTATTCCACTTATTTCATCCTACTATCCCTTACTCTATATTTACCCATTTATTTTATTTTAATTATCTCATCTTATTTTATTTTCTTCCATCCTTTTTACTTTATTTTACTTCATTTTATTTATTTCACTTCACTTCATTCCATTTTAATTCTAATTCCATTTTCTAATTTTATTTTATTTTTATTTTTATTTTAATTCATGTCTCTTATTTTTATTTCATCCTGTAGCAAGGTGGGGACCTTGCCCCACTTGTTGGTACTTCTAATGTGTGTGTGTGTTTGTAGGCAAGGAGAAATAGCTCAAGGGAGGCGATTCCAAACCGGCCATGGGCTAGAGGGCATTCCAACGTGATCTACGTGGGCACTCACGCGAGCTAGCTCGAGTGTGTCACGGACCCACTTGAGATAAGTCCTGCCTCATGACCCTAATTCCTCTCTCACCGGTTGGTACTCCTGCCCACGTCTTCTTTACATGATTCCCGAGAGAGCGATTTCAAGTCTCGGGTCCATCTCGAACCTAGAACCACGCCACCAGGTCAACCCTACCAGGAGGGCAAGATAGAGGCACCTAACCACCAGCCACTCAACAACCATGGTCCCAAGACCGTCGAGAACCGGTCCTTACACGCTCGTTATACAAGAGTCGAGTCCAGTCGGGGCACATAAAACCTGTCAAGCTCAGAAACCTTCAGCCACACCTAAAGCTGCCATCCTTGGAGAAATGGTCAGTGTAATGGTGGTAAACGAACCGAGCGACTACCAGGAAGCACACATGGAAAGGTTTGAACAGATGGTGCAAGAAATGATGAAAAAGATTGATCGCATAGAGGCCGTGCGACACTCGGCTAACCATGAGGCCAATTCCCATCATCCAGATGATACACCTCGAAGGCAGCCTCCTCCTCTTGCCTCACAGGACAATTTTGTCCCTCACCCTGTCTCACAGGCAGACATTGATGCTATGGTAACTCACAGCCTAAAGAGGAGACAAATCCCAGTAATACAGGGTGTAACGCTTACCAGAAGATGTACCCCTCATACATTGATCAGGTGTCGTTTTCCTAAAACTACAAGAAAGGGAAGTTTCCCGTGTTCAATGGTACCACATCCCCGCACCATCATATCGCCCACTTTCAAACAACATGTCGAGAGACAACGGCTGATGGGAGACTCCTCCTCAGTCAGTTCATTGAAACTCTTTATGGCCCAGCCTTCCAGTTGTACGCTCGACTGCCACAAAATTTAGTACATACTTGGGAGGAAATGGAGAAACTGTTCCATCAATGTTTCTATGAGGTCAAGTGAGAGGTCCAAACCATAGACCTCCTCACCTTAACCCAAGAACCTGACGAACCCATGGATCAATTCATAGCAAGGTGGAGGGATTTTGCCCTCGCCATCCCAATCCCATGCCTAAGAAGGAAGCAGTTCAGATCTGTGTGCGAAACATGCGCCATGAGATTGCTTTACATGTTGAAGCCTCCAATCCGACCTCCATGTCAGAGTTGATCGCTAAGTTGGTTCGCATAGAGACCTTGTGACGCCACCATGGCGGGTCACGACAACAGTCTTCAAGCTTGAGAAACAATCGGGGCAATGGTAATTCTCGGACCAACGCCCTGGACAATCAACAAAAAGGAGTGATCAGTGTGGCCGTCACCATAAGCGATCCAAAAAAGCTTGTCTCTCAGACTTTGGACCTCTCTAAAGGGGTAAGCACAACAAAGGCAGCACTCAGGCAGGCAAACAACAACAGTCATACAACCGAGTACCCCCACCTGCAAACCTTAATCGAGATGACTATTGGATTAGACATCAGAATAAGGTATATCCTTTTGAAAAGGAATGGGTTCTTGTGCTGCTCTGACTATTATTGGAACAGAACATGATTGAGCTGCTCGAGATCAAGTTCCCCGATCAAGGTGGTCTCGATACTCATGCAAGATACTGTGCTTATCATCGAAGGGTAAACCACTCCACAGAAGAGTGATATACACTTAAAGACCTCATCGAGGCTCTAATCCAAAAGGGCTAGATCAAGCTCGAAGACCTTAAGAAAGCATTCGAGGCACTGAAGCCTCCCATGCAGTAACAGTTCAGGAGGAAGATGAGGAAGCCACTGCATTCTTAACTCCAAAAGGCATCTTCTGCTACACAATGATGCCCTTTGGGTTGAAGAATGCAGGCGCTACGTACCAGCGAGCCATGACAACCATCTTCAAAGATATGATGAACAAGGAGGTCGAATGTTATGTGGATGACATGGTGGTAAAATTCGAAGAGAAAGATGCTCACATGAGAGATCTTGAGAAGGTGTTCGAACGATTATGCCTTTATCGACTCAAGATGAACCCGCTAAAATGCGTGTTTGGCATGAGTTCCAGAAAATTCTTAAGGTTTATTGCTAGACATCGAGGCCTCGAAGTTGAGCCTGTCAAGATCAATGCAATTCAGGAAATGCCGCCACCAACTACATTGCGTGAGCTGCGGTCCCTTCAAGGACAGTTGACTTATATTCGGAGGTTCATCTCAAATCTCTCGGGTTGTTGTAAACCCTTTACACACCTGTTAAAGAAGGATACCCCATTCATCTGGGATGAGGCATGTCAAGCGACCCTTGATGACACCAAGCAGTATTTACTCAATCCTCCAATGCTCTCTACATCAGTGTTGGGAAGACCTCTCATCTTGTATGTGATTTCCCTCGACGAGTCACTCGGAGCCTTATTGACACAAAAAAAATGACGAGGGGAAAGAGACTGCACTATATTATCTCAGCCGCAGGATCCAAGGGGCCAAGAAGAATTATCCCCCTATAAAGACGATGTGCCTGACCCTAATCTTCGTGGTACAAAAGCTTCGTCACTATTTACTCGGTCATGAAGTAAAACTCATATCGAAAGTTGACCCTGTAAAGTTTCTCATGACGTGTGTCCATGCTTATTAGGACGCCTTGCTAAGTGGTTGTTATTATTGATGGAATTTGACATCACATATGTACCTCAAAAGGCTGTCAAGGGTCAAGCTTTAGCCGATTTTCATGTAGCACATC